GATGCCTGTTTTCCACTCACCTCCATATCTCATTCCTAAGCAAATCCTGTTAGCAAGTCTTAAAACATCCAGAATTCAACTAGTCTTCACCACTTCTGCAGCAACCACTGTGGTTCAAGCCCCCATCTGCCCCCATCCTATCCTGTCTGAACAGGGCTTGCGCCTGCCTTTGCACCTTCCATTATTCTGAATAAGCCAGCACAATGCTGTTAAACAGAAGCCAGCCCATACTGGTTTTCTGCTTACAGCTCTCCACTGGCTCCCCAGCATACACAGAGTGAAAACCAAAGTCATCACCCGGATCTGTGATGCTCTGCACGACCTTGAACACAAAGGCAAGACCACCACACCTGTCCTTTCCCGTCCCAAGCACTCTGTCCCCTAAGTCTTCATGGTTCCACATCTCTCCTCTTTTGGGTCTTCATTCCAAGATCACCTTTTCCAAAAGGTCTTCCTATCACATTCAATTCAAGTTGAAAAAGAAAACAACTTGTTCTGTGTAAGGGTTGAATGATGGCCACCCTCCAAATATATGTACATCCTAACGTCCAGAATCTGACTGTGCCCTTATTTGGAAGAGGATCTTTACAGATGTGATTATAGATTTGGAGATGAGATCATCTTGGATTTCCTGGGTGAACCCTAAATCCAATAACAAGTGTCCTTATAAGAGACAGAAGAGAAGACACAGACACCCAGAACAGGTTAAAACCGTATGCAGATGGCCATGTGAAGATACAGCACTACCCAACATAAGATTTATTCCTTGTGTTTACTGACTTTCTACCTACTAATCTATAAGCTACAGGAAGGCAGAGATTTTTATGTTTTGTTCACTGCTGTATTCCCAGAGTCTAGAACAGAGCCTGGTTCCAGTGCTTAGTTAGTGATTGGTCTTTAATAAATATTTGCTAATTAGGAAAACAAACAGGTGAATAAATGAATGAGTGACAGGTTCCCAAATTTTGTACCTGAGTCAATAGAAGAATGATGGATCTTTTGATAAAAAAAAAAGTGAAAGAAAGAAATAATTAGAACTGAGATGGGGATAGATAAGTTCAGTTTAGGGCTTGTTCAGTTTGATGGAAAGTAACTAGAATTACAAATGTACACATGGTCCCCAACTTCCGATTTTAGGTCCACCTTTAAGATTTCTTTAATTTGCAATGGTGCAAAAGTAGAGTATGATGGTACCTATTCAGTAGAAACCCCACTTTGAATGTTGACTTTGACCTTTTCCCAGGCTAGCAACATGCTGAACAATCTTCTCTCCTGACGCTAGACAGGGGCAGTCAGCCATGTGATCATGAGGGTCGACACCGATACACTTAAAACCATTCTTCCCCACACAGTCATTCTGTTCTTCACTTTCCGTACTGGAGTCAACAAATTACACAAGATGCTCAACATTTCATTGTAAAATAGGCTTTGTATTCAATGACTTTGCCAATTTTAGGCTAATGTAACTGTTCTGAGCCATTTAAGATAGGCTAGGCTGAGCTATGATGTTGTGGGATAGGTATATTAAATACATTTTCAACTTAGAGTATTTTCTACTTTGAGTGGGTTTATCAGGACATAACCCCATTTGTAAGTCAAGGAAAATCTACTTACTCCTTCAGTAATTTAGGATTTACTCATCCAGCCAGCTCCAAAGAATTTTGGAGAACTTGCACTATCACATATATAAGCTAATTAATAAGATAATAAGACAAAAACAAAGAAACATGACAGGCATTAGACACAGAACTGATGCATGGGTGAAATGTCAGTGTTGAACATACAGATGGACTTGAGATTTAATGTCAAGTATGACCCCTCCAAAATTCTATTTGAGCTAACCTCGTGTGCCATGTTTTATTATATGAATTCAAAATTAATTTATTGACTGACTGATGGATTGATTTAACCTCCAAAAATTTCCCCTTTCTATATATACTGAGGAGATGCTGGTGATCAGGAAAGCAGTCAAGATTCAAATTACATAATGGGTAAAGGAAGAGTGAGAGCTCTAGAAAATTTCAGAGATCCAGAGCAGAAATTGCTGAGCCTCTACAAGCAGAGCCTTGGCGCACATGCAGCACCTGAGCCCCAATAAAGGGGACCAGCGGCTGAGCCAGTCCTGTGAAACACACCAGACACTGTGTGGGCACGGTGGGCATGCCTTCCCAGCCCTAGTCTGCTTTACTTCCCACCCTTTCCCGCTCCCCATTTAATGAGGTACTTCCACTGGTGATGATATTTCACAAATAATTTTGGCCCTGCTCCCCTTGCTTGTTAATAAAAATATCTATGTGGGCAATAGCGAGTAGATATTAGAAGTGAAACAGAACTCACCTCTTTACACATTCCTTTGAAATGATTATGACATATTTCAAATGAAAAAATGTCAGTGAGGAAGATGCATATCGGAATCAGTTTTCTTTGTCTATTTTGCGAGATTTGCAGAGCCCCAGTGATAGCCTTGCAGAGGCCAAGTGGCCCAAGTCCTGAAACATTTTGGCCTTACCCTTTCAGGGAGGCACGTCCTGTGGCTCTGTAGGGGGCACTGCCAGCAGGGGACACCCACCCTGCACCGTCCTCCCACCAGCAGGAACGTCCTCTTCACTCAGTGTCATCAGGTGGCTTCTAACTGAGCCTCAATGTATTTTTGAAAATATCAGAGTTGAAAAGTCCTCATAAAAGCTGAGATAATACTAGCCTCATGGAGGAAATCTGCGTTTACTGGGCACTGAATGAGAAGATGAAGCATATTTTTCTTGAAATATCTGGTATATTTTATGTCTCAATACCCTGATGTATGATAAACCCATTTTCAATTTTGTTTTTTTACCTCAGGTTCATTTTAATTACCAAGTTAAAACAAACTGAAAAACTTGTATTATTCTATGATACTGTATTTTTCACAAGTGTTAGATTATACTTGCTTAGTTCACACAGCTTTAGGCTACTTTGCTGTTACTAAGTCTCCTTTATGACAAAGTGTTTGGATAATTTAAATAAAACCTCTAGTCCCTATTGTGGAACAGAAGTGACTTTTGATGTCATAAAACATTTATTGCTAAAAGAAGTCAGTGTATATTGCTACTGTACCTGTACCCCTCTGGGAAGACAGAAAGCATTAATTTATAATACAATTAGCCACAGACTGGATGAGAAATAAAATACCCTTGAGATTGGATTGTAGGGATAGTTTTTACACAAAAAGGGTTTTAGAGAGAGATGACATATGTATCTCCTTTGTGGAAATTACATTTGTAATTTTAATAATTATAATTTAACATTATAATTATAAATATATATATATGAAACCTGACTTCTTAGGCCATATTTTTAAAATTAATTGTAGTATTATTATTATATATGTCCTCCATACACACAGATCAGAATTTTGAGTGTTCTTTCTAAAAATCATTATGCTTTCAACCCACCAGAAAACCAGACTGTGAGTTTTGTCAACCAATCTCTATTGAACAGGGGTTACATGCAAGGCATTGAGAAAGATGTCCCAGAACTCCCCAGTGCCAGGATACCCATGCTGGGACTCATCTGGATCTATGGACATTGAGTTCCTTCTGGGCATTTGCTCAGGTCCAGGACACCTAGCCCTGGTTTGAGGTTTTCCTCACTGACGTCAACACTGAATCTGACAAAGTACTGGCCACCGCGAGAGCTGGAAATCATGAGCTACCCTAAGGGAGTAACCGCGGGGGCTCTGAAGTGTATTCTGGTGAAGTTGCAGGTTTGGAGCAGGGAATTAGACTGATCTGGAATCAACCTCCTGGTTACTGTCACTCACTGAATCTTAAATCTGTGCCATCAGGCAAGTTGTTAATTTCTCCAAACGCCAGTTTCTTCATTTCTAAAATAGGGGTGATACTGACCGGGTTTCCTTAGGATTCAGAGTGATGATGTTAAGATCAGCCCAGAGACTGGAACACAGGAAGTGCTTAATACATGGTAGTTGTTACCATTTCATTTATGAGTAGAGACTAATTAGTCCTGGAGTCATAAGATGTCAGGCGAGAAGGTACCTTCAAGGCCCCCAATGCAGCCATGAGTCACCAGCACCCAGCCAGCAGACTTGTCTGTGCCACACATCTTCCAAAATGCTTGACATTTGACATAAAAGCTTTCCTGGGACTATCATCAAAAGAGGGGAAGAAAGGAGGGAGTGGTGTAAAGGCACTTGCTGAAATGAATTGTGAGGTGTAAGAAAATACAATCAGGTTTTTCTTGCAAGCTTGGTTTTCTGAGCATAGAAGTACTGCAGGTCATTCTACTGGAACAAAAGGTAACTCCAGTCTAAGGTGATACTTTCTGAAAGGCACTTTGAAAACAACCCCCAACCAAATCTCTTATAAACCACAGCTGTTCGAATCCAGAGGTCCCCAGTTAGGTGTTAGAGATTTCTTTCCAACACAACTTATAAATGAGAGGCTGCTATGAAAACCTCGGCATGCACCAGCTTTTAAGCCTGGGAGTTGCTCTGTGACACTCAGCTGGTGCCTGGCGCCGGCAGAGATTATCATTGAAGCATTGAAGGTTATGCCAGGAATCACAACATTGCCACCTGCATTCTGGCTGGGAAAAGCAAGCCTGCCAGGAAAAGTCCATGTAAGCCTGCATGTCCTTTCTCGGTGCCAGAGGCTGGAGGACACAATCAGGCATCAGCTCCACCTCCCACCTGTGACTCGACCTTGGTCATGAGTCATTGTTCTGCCTGAGCCTAGGAATTTTACCTGCCAAATGGTGACAGTCATGATCATCTGCCTTCCTCACCACCTGGTCATATAAGGTCTTTAATGAATTTCATTGTTATAAGGCATTTTCCTATCCTTGACAGGACATTGCTACCTGCTGTAAGGAAAGAACCATCACCACTATTGACTCACAGCCAAAAGAGAGACTTTCTCAGGCTTACTTGCTGATGAAGTGATAGTATCTAACATTTATATAAGGCTTTTGGTCACACACACAAAAAATAAACCATTTAAAAGTTCACAGTTTCGAAATACAAATTTATTGTTGCAGTTGCTTCCTTTGAAAGGCAATGTGCTTTCCGCACCTGGAGCCAGTTACAGGACAGATTGCTGCAGAGGTCCGCAGTCCAGATGGCCAGAGCTGGCCTTGGACGCTCAGCTCATGACGCAGTCTCCCTCTGCCCAACAGGCCTCTCATTGTAAGGCAGCCCGGGACTCAGCTGATGTCAAAAGCCCCCTTGTGCCCCGGGCGGATTGTTCCCACGAAGCCTGCCCCACACATCCTGCGGCAGGTAGAGACGGGGCTCGCCCTGCAGATGGTGCTGCCACAGCCACTGCCACTTCTCCCCACCACATGATCTTGGGATCTTCCCAGAGACTGGCACAAAGCACGATTCAGGGTTTGCCTTTGACTGATGCACACTTGGCCTGCAGATGGACAGAGAAGAAGAAAAAGGCGCCCCAGTGTTTTGCCACACTCGCCTGGGAGAGCTTGGGAATTCTGGCTTATTTACCAGCTTCAACTCGGGCTGAAAAACAAATTAGAAAGTTGCCAATGGTTTCATTCAGTCTACGAAATGGGCCTAATGGGAGTCTGTGGGTGAACCCATCAATGCACAAAAGTCAGGAAATCCAAGATTGCCATTCCCACAGCCTGCGGAGGCCTTCCACACACAGGTAGACTCTGTGCCCTGCAAGGCCCTCAACTGCATCCTTGCCAAAGTGAAGCCCCACGTGGAGGCCACCCTGGAAGCGCGCCCACCTTCCAGGGAAAAAAATGGTCTCTACTACACTCCTTACATTACAATTTCAACTGGAAAATCAGCCCCTTATTTTTAAGTTGACTTTTTTCTGGAGTATCATATATTGGCTAAAAAGTACATGCAGTACATGAACAGCGTGATGGATTTTTACAGCATGAATACAATGTAATCGATATTTAGTCAAGAGATTGAGTGTTGCCAGTATCCCAGAAGCTCTGGACATGCCTCCTCCCACCTCTAATGTAATGATGAAATCAGATTATAAAAATTCACAGAGAAATGCGGTGTAAGTAGACTCTGAGACTCTGGAGCTTGAAAAACATTATTTGAGAGAATCTCCTGAAATTGAGCCAGCCTTCTGGGAACCCTGGCTCAAGTTCCTATCGTTACAGTTTACACCCAGCACAGCAGGATAAAGGAGGGGGTGTGTCTGAAAGTTTTTGCAGGTCCTGTCTTCTGAGATGGAGGTATAGCTCCCAGAATTCTTTCTTTCTGTAAGCAGATACACCTGGCAGAGGAATCACAAATAACAGATGTTCTCAACCAAGGACGCACCTGAGAAGCCCTATCAAGGGTCCAGTGCTGGGCCCACCCAGGCCTGAGTCAGTGCTTCTGGGAATCAGGTCTAGCCACGTAAATCTCAAACATGTCCCTGGGGGACTCGGAGGCACAGCTGTGGGTGAGCCACAACTCTCTCGAACTATTGCTCATTTTCCTCTCTCATTAAACCAGTACCTTCTGAGCCCTTGCCTCCAACAGACAAAAAGGAGGAAGGGCCAGGAAGACATGCGAAGGCACCGTGAGAGGGCTCAGGTGAATGTCTCCCCTTCCTAACCTTACCTGGGCCAGTTCTGCCCAACTCAGATGCTGATTGACTGCAGGTCAGAATCAAGGCTTCACCTCCCCCAACCTCACATGTCCGGTTCCTTTTTTGCACATACTTCAGGCCTTTGCATGTATCAGAAGTTCTTTCTTTCCTCTTGTCCACACAGCAAATTTCTACACATTCTTCAAGATCCAGGCAAAATGTTCCCATGCCCTATAGATTTCCTGACTTAGTCCTCTGTGTCCCCTACATCATCAATGGCCTCTTTGCAGCCCTTACCACTCTACATTGTAATGACCCTTTGTGATGCCTGCCCCAGTGAATGGACTTAGATTTTCCTCTCTCCACCTCTGCATTCTTGGGCCAAGAATGAAACCTGGGACATGCTGAAGAAATAAAAAATGGATGGATGCATGGACAGATGGATGGATGGATGGAGGCATGGATGAATGGGTGGATGGATGGAAAATTACTTGAAAGTACTTTGTAAAGTGCAAACTGTTCTATTTCCATTCATTCCTTAACTATCATACACAGATGGCTGTCTTAGAACTCAAACTTTTTATCTACACTCCCATCCTTCTCACCTTTCAAGTAAATAACCAATTCTTTGCCATTTCAACAGCAAATAGAAAATGTACACCTTCACTATGTAACTGTTAGCAAAAATGCATCATTCTTCCCAGCATCATTATTCTCTCAGACTCACTTCCCAGTCTCACATCCCAATGAACCTTTTGCCTCTCTCTTTTTCCCCAAAAAGAGAACATGGAGCAAAATAGAGGCCTTGGAAATAACATCTAGAAAGTATGCCTGAGAACCCATGGAACAACGGCATTGAGGCCAACTCCTGGTCTACATTGCCATTCAGAAGGCAGCTCAGTTCCTGCCAGGTGTGTACACACAGACATGTGTTTCTTGGGAAGAATAAACTACCCCCAGCCTGGGCGGCGATGGGAAGCTCAGAGTTCTGGCACAATGCTCTTCCCCAGGAGCTAGTAGTTTCCTCAATGGAGGAAATGTTTTTGAATGACAGCCCTAGCCTGTGAGGCATTTCCTACATCCCAAGGGCAGACACATGGCAGAACCCTAGTCAACATAAGGCATTTAAGTATGTGAAAAAAGTCAAATAAAAATTGTAAAGGTGAGAAGAAAAGTGAATGGTTGGAGAAAAGTAATGTTAACTAGGAGAAAAGTAATGTTAAAATGTTAACTCTGTTTTGTTTTTGTTTTTTCTGAGAAGCTGAGCCATTTATTGACCAGGAAGGTTCAGGGAAAATCTGTGCTTCTCACTCAGAAGTCATAGCTCCAGAGGGAAATGAGAAGGCAGAAGCTGGCCAAAGGAAAAGATTCTTCTGTAAGTTTGGACCCGGATTCAGTTTCCTTTTTCCTGGGCTTAGTTTCACATTCCTAGAGAGCAAAGTTCCTATTTGAACTTGGAAGGAAATGCAATTCACTTAGGCAAAATATTTAATTCTTGTTTTTTCCAAAGGCCCAGCACACACCGCCTGGTGGCAAGGATCTGGAAGCACGAGGTTGCATTCTTCCCTTAAACTTGGCATTTGCTCCAAGTTCCTTGATTGCTGTCTTCCTGCAAGTGAAGTTACGCTTAAGTGGCAGGTGTCAGTGTTTATTTCCTGGCAACTACTTCATGACATTGGATTTGAGGAAAGGAAGGAGTCACGTGTCTATGGAACTGTGGTTTCCCCTTGTCTTTTCAGTGGAACCAAGATCAAGGTCCCAGTTGTCTTGAACTTCTGGATCTGGCTCAGAGGGGGCCAAAGCCTGCCACTGCTGCTGGGGAGGGCTGGGGGCGTGTTGGGACAGGCACAGGATGCGAGCAAGGAGGTGACCACGGAGGGCTCATCAGGGGTCAGAGCACCTATAACCAGGATGTTTCTTACCCTGGGAAGCCAGGACAGGAACACTTAAAGAAAGCATGTCAACAGCATCATTAACAATGTATCAGAATTCCATTACTTTAGAAGAATTCCAGAACTGGACAGAGAGAGACCATGTAAATCAAACCTATAATCTTATATATGACACAACTGGTTTACCAAGACCAGCAGTGAACAACTTTCATATCAGAATCAATCATGACATCTACTAATACAGCTCTACTGAAGCATTATCAAGAGAACCATATAACTTCAAAATATTGCCATCTGGTCAGTCTCTGTTATGTCTCATGTATCCCCATTTCTTTCATTCCTTTGAGTAAAGTTAATGCATTTCTAGGAAGTGCACATTAAAAACAAATTTGTGTTCAAATCGAGAGGCAGTCTACAAAATAAAAATCCTGTACTCTAAAAGTAGTGTCAAGGTCATGAAAGCCATAAAGAAAGAAAAAAAAAGGCTAAGTAATCATTCCAGATTTTTAAAAAGTAAAGGGAAATGACAACTAAATGACATGCGACTCTGGAATGGATCCTAGATTAGAAAATAAGTATTTTATTTTCCCATAAAGGATGTAAGTGAAATGGTAAAATTTGAAGAAGGTCTATAGATATTAGTACATCAATGTTAATTTCCTGATTTTGATAATTTTACTGTGGTTCTATAAGAGAATGTTCTTGCCTTTAGGTGACACATGCTGAAGTATTTAGGGGTAAAGAAGCATGTGTAACACAAATTAATATCATCCCCGTGTGTCTCAGCAGAAATAAGGTTAAAGTACCCCAAGGGACAGTCTGACCCAAGGGCAAGTGCTGGAGAGCCCAGACAAGGCAGTGGCCCATGTGCCTACCTGGAGTTCCCCTTCACAGAGGTTCCTGAGGTAGTAAGAAAATTGCTTGATCTCTACTGTCCTTTGTTTCTCCATCGGAAGAGGTTAAGAAAATACCAGCAGTGCATTTACTGAAACCTTTATCTGTTCCAGGCCCTATTTCCAGCACTTTATGTGCATTAACAACAACCTTTCACAAACAGGAAGGCTGAGTCATGGAGAGGAATGTAATTCGCTCAAATTCACAAAGCTGAAAAGCAGTGGTGAGCAAAACTGAACTGCTACCTTATCGGACATCTTATCTACTAGTGTTCTGTGAAACCTAAGGGAAATATGTCAAGTGCTAATTTAGTGCCCATACCAAGGGAATGTTCAGTAAAGATTAGTTAGTTGCCAGTATCAACACCATTCCCACCATTGATGACACCCTCAGCATGCCTGCATTAGCAGGATTCCAAGTCTGCATTTCTTAGGTTCCTTTTCTTATTAAGTCTTCTGTAGTTTCATCAAACAATGTAACCTATAAACTGAACACCACATATCTCAGAAGAGCTAAAGAAAAATTAGAGGTAACATATGTGAGTATATTTTTCTTATAACAATTGATAACTCTGTAGTTTGTTTCGTAAAACATGGCTGGTGTGAAGCATTTAGACTTGAGGACATTTCTCATACTATTTGAATTCCTTCCATAGGACATCATAGAGCCAGGGGAGAAAAGCTTTTTATTCAATCATTTCTGGGGGGTAAATAGTTTGGGCATGTATTCAGGCTTTTCTCCAGAAATCATGCTAATTTATCTTGTCTAGTAAAAGATGCTAGATGTCATTCAAACCAGATGTTATTTCACACATAATTTTTGTGGGTTTTAAGATTTTTCAGTCCCTTACAGAGTAGCCTTTGACTGTTTTCACTTGGTTGGTGTTGAGGCTGAGTAGATGGGCCTTGGGTCATTTTCCCTATGTCCAAAAGGAGACTGTATTTGTCTGCCAGCACTGCAGTAATAAAGTACCACAGAATGAAGGACTCAAAAACCAAATTTATTTCCTCCTAGTTCTGGAAGCTGGAAGTCTAAGACCAACGTGCTGGCAGGGTTGGTTCCTCCGGAGGCCTTGCTCCTTGGCTTGAAGACGGCGTCTCCTCACTGTGTCCTCACATGCCCTTCTCTCTGCACATGACTGGATCCTAATTTTCTCTTCTCATAAGGATACTAGTCATATTAGATTCAGGTCCACCCAAATGACCTCAATTTAACTTAACTACCTCTTTAAAGGTCCTACCTCCAAATACAGTCATATTTTCAGGTACTGAGAGTTAGGATTTTGACATATAAATTTTGGAGAGACATAATTCAGCCCATAACAAAGACTTAGAGGGAAGGGAAGACAGAATCCATATATATAAGTCCAGGAAGAAGTCCTCCTTGGAACCTAATATTGGGAACCCTTTGTGAGTGTAGCTTCTGACGCTGCCTGTCTGCTCTGTATTAGTCTCTGGGAAATTGTCCAGTGGAAGATCCATCCCGGCAAAACTTCCAGAAACTCCTCCTGCATCCCCATAAACTCATTCTGAACCCTACTGACAATTCCTTGATCCCTTGCTCAGCAGCCTCTGTAGTACCATCTTCAGTATAATTCTCAGTTCGCAGGAAGACAAAACTCTTGTGCATAATATGTTGGCACTACTGCTGAATTCAACATAGCCAATATGGCTAAGCAACTTGGAAATAATCCATCCTTTCAATAGCTGATATAATTTTAGTACTTTATTTACTACAAACATTGAATTTTGCCTTCAGGCCTCATAGAGAACAGCACTGACAACTTCCAGAAACATATTTGAAATGCCTAGTGTAGTGTACACAGCTGACTAGAAATGTTCCCTCTGTGCTGTGACAGGAATGAGCTAAAGTAAAGGGTACAAAACCACTAACCCAAAATGACAGCTCCCCAGTCTGCCCCAGATCTCCCTGCCCCACGTGACCACCGATTTAGGAGCCAGAGACCTGTCATCTTGAGTCTGCTAATGACCTTACACAGAAGTTAGGCTTCCGTCAGTGAAACAGCGATTGAAAATATATCATTCTCTTTCCCCAAAAACCATTGTAAAAGGGTCAAATGAAGTGGAACGCTAAAACAAACTTGGTAAAAAATCAAAACTATATTAAGTAATGCAGTTTTAATTAACTGTCAAAACCAACCTAAGTCCACTAAGTTTGTTACTTTTATTCTGGCGTTGTCTTCTAGCTTATACTCATTACCAGATAAAGACTGAAGGGATTCTATGGCAAAACTTGTCTTCAATCCCAAGAGATTTCAATCTATGATTTCACTGTCCCTAATGTATCTTTACTGATTTTTCCCAGCTCTAGACTTCATACTGTATTAACAGAGGACACAAGAGTAATTGTATGCACCTGAAACTAATATAATGTTATATGTCAATTACACCTCAATTAAAAAAACAAAAAACCCACAACATATAATATGACCTTGGTCTTAATAATTTATTATCAAGTTGCACAACAATGTGAATGTACTTACTGCCACAGAACTTCATACTTGCAAATAGCTAAAATGGTAAATTTTTTGTTATGTATATTCTACCTCGAATTATTTTTAAAAATTCATCATTAATATGTGATTTTATAGTAACTCTGGGAGTCGACTGTAATGCCACGCATGACCACCAGGGGACAGCATAGGCCTGACTCTGCTTTAGCCTTCCTCATTAGGCTTTGGCGGTGGGTTTTCTGAAATCACAAAGTGCCCATCTCCCCCAGGAAAACCTCTCTGTACGTCAGGATCTGGAAATGCCCACCCGAGCAGCGGCCCCATGTCCCGTAGCAGGACCTTGCCCAAGGAAGGGTTCTAGCCTCTCCTTCTGCCCTGAATGGTGCTGGGCAGGGGACTCTGAGCTCCAGATCAAGGTCAGCACTTTGGAGTTGAAGGGTGGTCCGGCACAGCAGGCGTGGATGAAGAAGCCAGGCACTGGAGTCAATGTACAATATGTAGGCATCAGATCCGACCACATTTAAATTGGTGCCGAGTTCACTGTTTCCCAAGCCCCTGGCTTTCTGAAGTGTCAAGGGAACAGGAACAGGTTTGTGAGGAAGAGGCAGCCTGGGGCAGGTGCATCAGGACCCTAGACCTGGTCAGAAAAGAACAGGAGGTCACACAGGCCTCAGGAAATGTTATTGGCAAAGAGCCCACAAGGATTTCTTATTTACACTATTTTGTATTTTCAAAGTGGTCCTCATTCATTATAAGCTAATAATTCTGAACCATGTCCCCTCGTATTACAGACCAAAGACTGCAACACTGGAAATCAGCACTTTAAGCAGAAGGCAGCAAGGATGAAAACGGACCCCCAATCTCCTTTGTGCCCTGTTTGTGGTTAAATACAGCAAACCCTTGGCAAGCACATTACTCCTGATGGGAAAAAGAAAACAAAAAAACCCAACCTGGGACCAAGACCCAGCTGGGACCTGGTAGAAAGGTTGCATTGCAACAGAAAAAGAAACTCAGCCCGCCTCCCCACTCCCATTCACTGCTGACACCTCAGAGCCTCTGAGCACATGTGGAACTGGCACAACCTGTTCTGTCACCAAAACTGTGGGCAGGCAGTGAAGAGACCGGCCCTGGGGACGCGCGCTACGCACAGATGGGTGGTAACAAGGTCATAGGCCAGAGTGTGTGTGCACCCCGTGGCGTGCGGTTCCCACACCAGGCCTTTAATTCATCCCAGGAATGGCTGCCCCCCCTGGAAGCGGCCTGGAAACTGCAAGCTAATTTCAGGGATTGACCTGTGTTCTTGGGCAGGAGAGAGTAAGAGGATGGGTAGGTGAGGGCAGGCTATTCACAAGAGGGCAGCCTTTGATGCGAGTGGGCAGAGTTTGGCCGAAACTCAACACCCCTTAGAAGTACAGATTAGTCAGGAGGAAGAAAGGAGAAGGCATTGTGGAAGTTTGCAAGAAGGAGACAAAGATGCCTGTGTTTTGTGTCGCTCAGCTGCCTCTAGAAAATGTCCATTTGTTTTCTTTCCACTCCTTTTACATTTTAAGTGGAAGCCAGTGAATGTGCCTTTTCAGTGTTCCCAATTTCACCGTTTTCACTACACCTCATGTTGCCATTTTAATGAAGCATCATTTTTCCAGAGGGTGTGGGAACAAAACTTAGTTAATGACCTCTCAGAGCAAACACTGAGTTCTTCAAATATTTCCCTGGATTAAAACCCCCACCCCACAATTCACTTCCTTTTTAAAATGCCAGTTTGCCAACTACTGCAAACCAATAAACAGGGCTTTCCTTTACTCTCCAGCCACAGAGTTCCTTACAGTCTGGCAGCCTGGGCAGTCCCTGAGAAAACCCAGCCCTTGGCTGTGCCCTGGAGGGCACAGTGGCACAGCTGTGATCCCCTCAGAAGCATGACACCACATGCCTGGCAGTCCTCCAGCACAGGTTCAGGGGACTCAGCAAAGACCTGGGAAGACCCTGGAGATTATCTAAGCCAACTAGACACTTTACAGATGAGGAAACAGAGGCCGGTGGGGAGAGGTGTGCAGAGGCCACACATGGTGTTACAGGTAGAAGGGAATAAGCAGGGCAGACCCCGTGTGGTTCCCACCGCCTGCCTCAGCATCACTTGGTGGCAGTTGTGCAAAATGCAAACTCCAGAACCCCTTCTCAAACCCTCTGAACTGGAATTGCTTGGGGTGGGGACTAGGGATTTATATTTCAACCATGCCCCACCACTGAAGTTGTGATACACACTCACCGTAGGAAACACCAGCAGTAGGAGAAAGAATAGGTTTGGAGTCAGACAGATCTGGGTTTGAGCCCCATCTCTGCTAATTGCTAGCTCTGCACATTTGGCAAGCTAATGGCTCTGAACTCTGTTTCTTCATCTGTAACTGAGGAAACTGAAGCGAGGGCTACATAGGGCACACTCAGGCCCCAGGGTGTGGCACCAGAATGTATTCAGTGTCTGGAGATTGCAGCCACAGAGCTCCTGTTTATATGAGCTTGGGCACATGATTTGCCACCTCTGAGCCTCAAATTCCTTACCTGTAAATGGAGATGATAATACCTCCTCCCAGGAATGTTGTGAAGGTTAAATGC